CCTCCGGGCGAGGTGGGGGGGGAGCGGGCAGGGCGGCGGCGGGCCGGCTCGGTGCCCGTTTCCCGTGGGTACCGGGGATCCCCGGCTGCGACGGGCCGCATGGATGCTGGCGGAGGAAATGGCCTCGCAGGTGGTAGCGGCTGCACCGGCGCCCCGGGCCGCCCGCCGGGTGGGAGGGGATGGGGGGGAAAAGCTCCATCCTGCGGCCGGGCATCCGTGGCCTTCCCCTGGGTGTCGTGGGCTGCCTCCCCCGCCGAGGTTTGACACCCCAGCCGGGAGCCCCCGTGGGTGCCCAGGTGTCCCCGCTTCCACAGTGCCACCCATCCTGTCTCTAGGTATGAGCCGCCCTGCCCTCCGAGCTGTCATGGGATCCCGCAGCTCCTCCGGGAGAGCTGCCCCGTAGCACCAATGTATTGCATCCCTATCCCTGCAGGGCTCTCCCAAGGGATGCTGCAGCCTTGGGCATCCCTGCATCTGTCCCGTTGCCGCCCAACACCTGGCTGGGCGCTCGCCTCCTTGCCAGGCTGGGAGCCAAAGCCAGCGGTGTCTACAGAGGCACGCAGCCTTATCGGCGCCTGGCAGACCCTGGGGGGAGTGGCTGGCCGTCCCTTTGGGTGCTTTCCCTTCCCGAGACACGGCATGAGTCCCCGGGCTGAATTCACGGCTGCAGAGCTGGCGGTTTTGGCCTGGCTGGCGATAGGTGTGCGGTGGGGAGGAGGTCCAGCTGCAGGCCCCGCACATCTCACCTCTGAGAGGTCCCCGTGCGGCACGAGTAGCGGGGCTTGTCTTCCTCCCCGCGCAGTGGCGACATCTCAGCTCCCCTTGGAAACGCAGCCGCTCCTGGGGAGGGCTTTGGCGGTGGGACTCGGTATCTGCTGGCAGCAGCCTGCCTGCGCTGGAGGGGCTGTGGCCGGGGCTGGGGGCTCGCCGCACATCCCCCGGGCTCCTGCCCTTTATCTCTGCCGCCCACGCTCCCTCCCCACGCCTTCAGGGCTTTGCGCCCCTCTGCTGATCGCTCCGTACCCATGGCGGCCTGGGGACAGGCCCTGGGGTGCTTGGCCGGTGGTGGTAGTTGGGGACCCTTGGTGGGGGTCGGGGTTCTTCCACAGCCGGCAAGGGCACCGAGCGCTCGTGTGGGATCTGCAAACACCGGTGCTGTCTCACGGACAAGTAAACTGGTCTGTTGCAAGAGTGGCTGAGAGGGCAGGCCCTGGTGCTCCCCTGGGGCCCCCAGCAGCCCCAGAATGGGGTAGGGGTAAGGGCAGGGGAGGCAGCTGCCTGCCCCCATGCCCTGTCCGGCAGCACCTGGTGCCTGGCAGAGCCTGGCGACTCAGCCCCCCTGCGCTGCACGTGCGTGCGATGCACCAGGGCAGAAGGCAATCGTTTCCCATCTGTGTCCTGTGCGGCAGCTGAGCCCTGTGCTGGCCCCGCTCAGCGCCCAGTCCCAGCGCTGCCGTGTGCGGCAGCCACTTCGGCTCCAGCTCTCACTGGGGGAGAGTTTGGGGGACCCCCGTTCCTGCCCGCGGCCCCCAACGCCCACCTGCCGGGAGGTCGGCAGCCAGCTGCCCACAAGGTCGCCTGTCCACACTGGGTAAATCTTTAACTGCTTCTTGGGAAACACCTGGGAGCTGCTGCTCCTGCGGGTGCCGGGGGTTTGGAGATGCTGGAGGGGCTGGGAGCCAGCAGGAAGAGAACCCGCCGCCAGCGCACCCGGCCCTGGGCCCTGCGTCCTCCACCAGCCCTGCTTCCATGTGCCCTGCGGGCAGGTGCGGGGGAGCAACCAGCCTGGCACAGCCCCTCGGTTCCTGGAGGGAGGGGGAGGCCTGGGGCGGGGATGTGCCCACCCCACCAGTCACATCTCCCTTGATGTCTCTCTCCCCCCTGCCCAGCTTGCTCTGACGGTGGATTGAAGCGCACCGGTGCTGGTGCAGCAGCCAGCGCGACGGAGAGTGGGCAGGCGAGGGACCCCACGGCGGGCAGCCGGCACAGCGCTCAAGCCTCCAGGGATGGCTGATAAGTGCAGCGAGGGGCTGCTGGTAAGTGCTGGGGTGCGGGGACCGGGCTGGCATGGGCCACTGCCTTGGGGACCCAGAGCAGCTGGTGCAGGGAGCAGGACACCGGGGCTCCTGAAAGGCTTGATGCCCCCCTGTGACCCCCAGCCGGGGTTGTGCCACCCTGGTGCTCCCCCAGCCCAGTGACCGTGGGGCAGATGCTGGCCACCACTCGCCCTGAGCCTGCTGCCTGTGAGGCTGCCTGGGTGCAATGTCTCACTGTGCCTGGAGATGCTATCGCTCATCTCAGGCGCTCTGCCTGGCCTTATCACCTGCCCCAGCTTTCTGGGCGGGTGGCAAAGGTGGGAAAGCCCTGGCCGGGAGGCTCTTCTGCCTGCTTTTGGCAAAGGGTGTGGGCATCCCTCTGTGCCGGGTGCTCTGAGAGGGGCATGGTGTGGGGCTGCTTCCCCTCTGCCTCCAGCCGGCAGGCTCTCCTGGACTGGGCTGGTAGGATGGTGTGTGGGCAGAGCCAGGTTTTTCCAGGCATCGGCATGGTGCCTGACCCTCCGTTCTTGCAAGCGGTGTGTTGCAGGATTCTGTGTGCTGCCCTGCACTCGCCTGCATCAGGGATGGCTTTGGTGCCCTGAGCGGATCTGGGATGTGCCTAGTGCGTGTCCTTGTTGGAGGGCCGTGATGGCCCCGTGCTTGTGGCAGCTCTGCCATGCAGCAAGGGATTTAGGAGCCCTGAGCTCAGGTTCCTGTGCCAGGCTGCTGTGCTGCACCCGGCAGGTGAGCCCAGGCTGGGCTTGGCTCTTCCCTTTTTCCCGATGGATGGGAACTGATTGCCGGGGCCGACATGATCACCAGGCCCTCCCCTTCCCAGGGGGCTTCCCGAAATAGCTGCACGCTCCAGCCAGAGGGCCGGGAGCCAGGACTTCCCTGGGAAGCCAAGAGCCAGGGGAGCGGCGTGCTCCAGGAGGTGCTTCCAGCGCGCCCGCGCGCGCACAGCTCCTCCGCCTGAGTGTCCCAGCGTGGCCCCACTGGCTGCGCCTGCAGCAGGGAGCCCAGCGCCCATCCTGCCTGCGACGGGCAGTGTGGAGAGGTCAGGGCAGCCGGCAGACAGATGTCTCCAGGAGAAGCCCTTGGCTGGGAACAGGGAGGTGCTGAGGATGTATCTGGGCTTGATCAGGAGTCTGTCATGAGGACATGCTCCTGCATGTTGTGGAGCGCTTGCCATGGCTCCATGCTGCTGCTGTGGTCTTGCCCTGGCTGGAGCAGCTGGCATCACACCAGGGCGAGGGCTGAGCCTGGCACCTACAGCAGGGAGCCAGGCATGGGAGCACCCACCTGCTCCCAGTTGATCTTTAACCCACTTCTCGGCAGTACCTGAGCAGCCCACCCCAGTGCCAGGGCATGCGGAGAGGTGGGGACGGGCAGGGGACTGCAGGGTCTGGCACATGCTGTGGCTTGCAGCTCTCTGCCTGGGGCTCCCCTGTTTGCAGGGTGCAAGGACACCCCTGTGCAGGGCACAGGAGGTGCTGGGAGGAGCTCGTGTGGGGGCTGTGGGGAGGAAGGCAGGTCCTTGTGAGAGCATCCCTGCTCCCGGAGCACCCCCACTGCTGGAGCATCCCTGCACCGTGAGACCCTCAGGAGGAGCCGCAGCAGGATGGACACTGGCTGCTGAGCTGCCCGGGTCACTGGGCAAGGGAGCTAATCCCCTTGGCCTGCCTCCAGGGCCCTGCCACTCACCTGGTAAAGCGTGGTCCCTGCCTGTCCTCTCATCCTTGCCTGCAGGTGCAGCTCCTGCCACCGCTGCCCCCAGCCCAGTCGGGCTCCTGCAGTGCAAACCCTGCCCACGGATGAGCGTGCAGCCCCTGGGGCTGGGCGGGTTTGCAGCGGTGCTCAGGGTGCCCGCTGTGTCCCCCCTGGGGAGGGACAGGGGTGATGAAGGCAGCAGCTGGGCAATGTGCAGCCATGCCTCAGTTTCCCCACCTGTGGGCTGGGGTCTGCACCTTCCCATTGGTCCATGTGTGATGAGGGTGCTGTGTCCTGCTTTTGCAGGCTCTGATTTTTATGGGTGCCCCTGGGAATCTCTGCATGCTCACTCCAAAACAGCAGGCAGGAGGACGGGCAGTGCCCCTCTACTGCTCCCAAACCCCACAGATGCCCTGACAGCGGGTGCCCGATGGAGTGCAGGGCAGCTCCAGGGGCTAGAGCAGTCCCTGTGTGGCTGGGCAGGGGGGGTCCCCGTGGGGCCGCAGGGAAATAGGGAGGGTCTGACAGCCTCTCCCTCCACTGCCTTTAAGGACATTTTGTTTTGTCCTCCTCAGGGCGCTTTGTCTGGCCTCCAGTAATGCCAGCGGCTCCTGACTCTCAGGGCTGCCTTGCTGGCACGGCCGGGCAGCCTTCGGCTGCAGGGTGCCTGGCTCAGGTAGGCTCCTGCCATCACCCCAGCCCACCCTGGGCAGACACTGGGGCGCGGCTCCCACCATGGTGCTGGGGGTTAAGGGGTGGGGGGGGCCCTGCCTGTCCCAGACACCCCCAGCAACGCGGTGCCACTGGCCAGCAGCCGCAGGCAGGGGGGCCAGTGGAGCTGCGGAAGTGGCTCTTGGCTGCGGGAGCCCTTCCCGGAATACCAAGGGGCAGTGATGGGGGGGTTGGCGGGGGATTTTTCTGCCTGAACGCCCCAGGAGAATCATGTCTGCCCCGGGAGAATGGGGCCAGAGAAAGGCAGCCCCGGCAGGAAGCACCTAGCTAGGGGATGGTGGCACTGGGGCAGGTCCCTGGGCATCATCCCTGCCCCAGGCACCCTGCAGCCCTGCTTGGGGACAGGGTGACGGGGGCTGGAAGACCCATTGCCATCCCCAATGCGCCCATTGCCCCTGCCTCTCTAGTTCAGCCCCAGCACCGCCAGCCAGCCAGGGCGGGGACCGGGGTGCCAGGGGAGGTGAGGGTCCCACTGCGGGCCCTTCGTTTCCAGCGTGTCCCCGTGGGGCTGGCAGTCCCCTCTGCCTGCCAGATGGGCTGCCAGGGGAGCAGCACTGTGCTCCCACGGGCTGGCACAGGGCCTGGCATCCCTGGGATGGGACGGTGGGTCCCGCTGTGCTATGCTCAGGCTGCTGCGGGGGGCACAGGGGCAGCGTACCTGGGGCAAGACATCTGGTGGTGGCACGCAGGTGGCCTGGGTGAAGTGGTGTAGCCAAACTGGGGCACGGAGGGGTGCTCGTGTGGGCACCTTGCGGGGTGTTCAGGCACAGGAGATGCCTGGCTGCATGTGGGGCAGGACTGGAGGTTGAGCTGGCAGGGCTGGGCTGCGGTCACTGGAGCTGGCACAGCATAGGGTGGCTCTGGGCTTGCATGCGTCCCAGGGGGGCACGGTTGGGTGCTGCCATCCCATGGATGGGGCATGTCCCAAGCTATTGGGTGGCCGTTGCAGGAGGTGACAGGGACAGGCACTGGGTGCTGGCACGTGGGGGGCCGAGCGCCCACCCTGCACACGTGTGCCGTTCATGTGCGTGGCCGCCGCTGCCCGGACCCCAGATGGTCGCCCGAAAGCGCCGGCCCGTCCCCCCGCCCTCCGTGCACCGTCACGCCTCACTGGCGCCTTGGCTGCGCTCCCCAGCCGGGGCGCAGGGCTGGGAGCAGCTGGGGCACCCTGAGCCTGGCTGGGGGGCACCCCGTACCCATCCTCCCGTGGGACACAGCACCCACCGCGGTCCCACCCCACGCTGGCAAGGGGGCAAGCAGGGAGGCTGCGGGGTGCCCGGGTGGCAGGGGGGTCATGGCACAGCCCTCCTGCCAGCCAGATGGTCCCCCGCGGGGCAGTGACCTTGCGAGGGTTGCCATGGAGACCCCGTGATGTCGCCAGCGGTATGACGTCAGAGTGAAGTAGAGGCACTAGGCTGGGGATGTGCCAGCAGGCAGGCTTGTCCCTGTGCCCCCATCCCCAGTGGGGCCATGCCCGGTCCCCGCAGCCCTGGAGTGCTCGGGGTTGGGGTCCGGCACGCGAGGCCGGGTGGCATAGGGGCAGGAACGCGCGTGTGGGGCTGGGGGTGCTGAGGTGTGGGAAGGGGGGGGGTCCGAGGGGATGTGGCCTTCTGCCACGCTCCAAACGCCGGTCCCGGCCCCAGCCAGACAGGCAGCGGTGCCCGCGGGGAGGGCAGCGCTGCCCGCTGGAGCGTGCGGGGCTGCGAGCAGCTGGATCCCGCTAATGAGGCCTCATTAAGCAGGACAGGGCTCAGCCTGCTGTGCAGCCTGCCCTGCCTGCACCTGCCGGGGAGGGCACCTGGCTCGTGGGGGCATGGCTTGTAGTGGGGGGAAACTGAGGCACGGGGGTCCCTGTGGTGTGGGACAGGCAGGGATGGTGCTGGGGTGGGCGGCGTGGTGGGGCACCGGTGCTGCGGCGGGGCGGGCGGTGAGGGGCCGAGCCCAGCCAGGAGGCGAGTGGGGAGCAGTGCCAAGAGCTGGAGGCAGCGAGCGGGGGGAGGCGGGCGGCTGCTGTGCCGGAGCCCGAGGTGCCAATGAAGCTGGGGACTCGCCGAGCTGGCCAGTCTGGCCCCCTGGATGGCAGCTGTGGGCAGCTGGGCCGCCCCTGGCCCCCTCAGCAGGTCAGTGGAGAGGTGAGAGCAGGGTCTGGGGGGGGAAAGCAGGGGGCCAGGCTGGATGGCAGCCATGCCAGCGACATCCCCCCACCACCATGGCTCTCCAAGCCCCTCTGTGCTGGCTCTGGGGCAATGGCTCTGCAGGACTGAGGCACAGCTGCAGCTTTGTGCCGTGGGATGCTGGAGAGGCACCCCAAAGCCCCAGAGCCAGGGACATGGGGTGGTCTGGGGGAGGGAGGGCACAGCATGGCACCAAGCCCCTCCATGGCCTCAGCTGTGCTGGGAGCAAGAAGAGATTGCCTGACAGTTGTGTGCTCATTAACTCTGGAACCTACTGACTGCAAGAGACTTTGCCTTGCTCAGTGCTGCAGGGGCAGAGTCTAGAGAAGAACCTCCCCCCTCCCCCATTTCGTGGGCATCAGTGAGCAATGTCAAAGCTTGCCCTGGCCCTCCATGGCACCCCAAGGTTGGGCTGGTGCTGCTGTGGGTGGCTGGCAGAGCAGGCTCAAGGCTGTCAGTGGGGCTGGGCAGTCTCCCTGCATCGGGGGTGGTCAGGACTGTGTAGCACTTCTGGAGGGTCCTGGGATTTGGACATCCTCCTCAGAACTGCATCACCCTGGCCCTGGGAGTGCCCCCTTGCCCGTGCCCATCCTGGCACTCACGGCTGATGCTGCCACCATTCAGGCCATGCCAGATGCCTGTGCTCCCACACCATGCCCACTGGGGCAGGGGTAAACATGGGGCTGGGCACTGCAGAGAGAGGGGAGGGATGGCTAGGATGTGCCTGTGGGGCTGGCAGAGCGAGGACAGGCCCGCTGGCAGGGCACGGCAGCCTGTGGTGCAGGACTGGCACTTGTGGGTTCATTACCCCATGTGCCAGGGACAAGGAGTGCAGGGGCTGATTATAGGAGCACCCCCACCACCACTACAGCACCCAGGATCTGTGAACAGCCAGTGAGGGCACCCAGGACACCCCTCTCCACGTCGCCCTATCTGTAGGGACCCCTCTCCAAGTCACTCCATCCCTGGGGACCCCTGCCCCAGGCATCCTGCACCCCACTTCCTTGCCCTGGAAGAGCTGCTCTTTTGGCAAACAATGTAATTAGCATATATTTATATCTTCCAGCAGCCCCTGCCTTGCTCAGCCATGATTTCAACATCATCACCATGGCGAAGAGCAATGACATCAGGCTGATGACATCAGGGGTTGACTGGTGCCCTCCATTGGCATTGCGGGAGCTGCCCTGGCACCCCGTTAGGAGGCTGGGGAAAGAATTGGGGGTCCCTCACTAGTTCAGGGAGGGCTGGATGAGGCTGATGCCCCATGGAGTGCTTCTGCTGGGCTGAAATACCCCTGTGGGGGCGGTCTGAGTGGGGGGAAAAGAGGGAGGGACCATGCTGGTGATGCCTCCTGTGGGGACATCGCCTCCCAGCATCAATCCTGCCACTGCCACGAGCTTCCCAACCATAAATCAGGGCCCCTTCGGGAAGTGGGGGGCATCCGGGCACCCCAGCCAAGCTGTCATTGTGCGAGGCAATGCTGCTTAGCATGAGAAAGGCTCCGGTGCCAGGCGGCGTGATGGATGATGCCCACTTTGCTGGGCTGGGGAAGCTTTGGCCATGTGGAGGGGGGGTCCCTGGGGAAGGGGGAGGAAGGTGGGGGATGTTTGGGGTGCCCGGGAACATCCTTCCTCCCCCCCGATGTTTTCACCTAAGCCAGGCATCTTTTGGAGCTGCACAGGAGCACATGCATGGAAAATTTGGGTTCTGGTAGGAGGACCCCCTCTGTCCCCGCTAGAGGCTGCATCCTTGCCAGGGGGGCAGCTCCCCCTTTGTAGCCCGGCTCTGTCCCATCTCCACAGCGGGGAGGGGGGATGTCTCATCTTCCCGGACGCCTGGGTTCTCTGTGTCCCCCCCTCTTTCACTATGCGGGGTTGGGAGGGCAGTTAATGAGTGTAAAGGACGGGGCAACCTTCCCAGATTTGGGGAGAGGGGGGGGTGGTAGCAAGCTGATGGGTAAGCATGCAAGTGTTTGCGCATGTGTGTGTGCTTGTGCACGCATGGACACACATGTGGCTGCCCCCTTATTGGGGACAAGCGCGCCAAAGCCCCGCACTGCAGGAAACGGTGGGGGGTGTGCAGCAGAGGCCTGGTGCCCTCATTGCACTGGTGCCAGGCAGCTCAAAGCTGGGGTCCCCCACTGGGCATGGGGGTGAAGCCATGCCGGGGTCACCTGAGCGGAGGGGTGGCTTTCCGGCTTTGGGACAGGGCTGAGGTCCCCTTTGGGCACTGGGGCTCCAGGCTGAGCCAGGACCATGCGGCGTGCCCCCCCCAGGACCCTTTGCCAGGGAGGCTGGAGCGTTGTTCCCCCTCCTGCTGGCCATGCTGCTCATTAGGAGCCTTGTTAGTGCAAGCAGCTTAATCAGAGGCTTCCCGATCCGATCAGCATGCTCGAGCAGGCAGTGTGCCCTAGCGTGGGGACAGTGCCAGTGTCCTGTCCCTCCACCCCAGGGACCCCTTGGCCCTGCTCCCGCTCAGCACCCCACAATAAGAGCCTCCCCCGGGCTGCTCTGAGCTCATTTCTGATGGAGCCTTTGCCCATGGGGTCTGGCGTAGGCACCCCGGTGCCCTGGCAAGGCACGGCCAGCATATCTCCCCTATAGCCCTGCCCAAAGTGCCCGCCGATCGCCCCTCTCCCCAAGCCCTGCACCCCGGCAGCCCCCCCGCAGCCCCCGGCGCGTGCAGGCCCCGCTTGCAGCAGATGGCTTTGTTTGGCAGCGCGGTGCCGGAGTCACCGGGCATCACGTCCCGGCTGTGCCGGCCCTAATCGAATGATACGGTTAGGTGCACCGCGCCTGCTGCCCGCGCCCCGCCGGCATGAGCAGATCCAAAGCGACGGCTCCCATTTGTGGCCCGCTCGCTGCCGGCGTCAGCCATCGTGGGGGGCACATGGGGGGGAGGAGGTGCAGCGGGGGGAGCAGTGTGAGCGGGCACGGGCACAGGGGTGTCTGTGGTGCGGAGATTGGCACCGTGGAGTTCCGGCTTGCTCCTAGGGCTGCTGGCACCCCACGCTGCTCCCGTAGGGTCATGGGTGCTGTGGGGCCATAGACCAACCGGCACCCTCATGCTATGTGCCCATCGCCTGGCCTCAGGTGGGGAATGGAGGGCTTGGGGCACCTGCAGCACCCCAAAATGCCATCTGTCCTCAGCCCGACCTGCCAGAGCTCAGCAGCATCCGGGCAGGACATTAGTGTGCCCCTGGGGCCATGCTGGGACCGAGCCATGGGGTGATGGGTGCCATCTCCGCCGGGGATGATGGGTGCTCATCCCTGTTGTTGTTGTTGTCCCCGGTGTGAGCTCGCATTGTGTGACAGCCTCCACAAAGCGCCCTTTCTTGCTCCCGTCTGCCCCCCCCGCCAGGTCCCCTGCGGTGAGGGACGGCTGGGTGCTGGGGCTGTCCCCACTGAGGGGACCCACCTGCACGGGACCCCCGCCGTGCCGCCCCCGAGTTCGGCGCCCTTGCTGGGCGCTGAGCCGGAGGCAGGACCCCGGCTGTGGCGGGGGGC